TCTGGGCGACAGAGTGAGACTCCAACTCAAAAAAAAAAAAAAAAAATTTCTTGTAGGGATGACGTCTCACCATGTTGCCCAGGCTGGTCTCAAACCTGAGGGCTGAGTGGCCTTGTCCTCCGCTGTCCTCTTGCTGTGCAGACTCCGCCCCGCTCTCGTCAGCCTCCGCGGGCTGTCTCCCTAAGACCCAGCACGATGCCTTCAATTAAGTTGCAGAGCTCTGATGGAGAGATATTTGAAGTTGATGTGGAGACTGCCAAGCAATCTGTGACTATCAAGACCATGTTGGAAGATTTGGGAATGGATGATGAAGGAGATGATGACCCAGTTCCTCTCCCAAATGTCAATGCAGCAATTTTAAAAAAAGGTCATTCGGTGGTGCACGCGCCACAAAGATGACCCTCCTCCTCCTGAGGATGATGAGAACAAAGAAAAGCGAACAGATGGTATCCCCGTCTGGGATCAAGAATTTCTGAAAGTCGATCAAGGAACATTTTTTGAACTTATTCTGGCTGCAAACTACTTAGACATCAAAGGTTTGCTTGATGTTACTTGCAAGACTGTTGCCAATATGATCAAGGGGAAAACTCCTGAGGAAATCCGCAAGACCTTCAATATCAAAAACAACTTTACTGAAGAAGCGGAAGCCCAGGTACGCAAAGAGAGCCAGTGGTGTGAAGAGAAGTGAAATGTTGTGCCTGACACTGTAACACTGTAAGGATTGTTTCAAATACTAGTTGCTCTGCTCTGTTTATAATTGTTAATATTAGAAAAACAGTAGCCAAATGCAGCAACAAATCAGTTGTATTAGCAGAGCATTGTCCTCATTGCATGTGTAGTTTGAGTACAGATTCCAAGCCTATGGCTGAGTTTCTTCTAGTACGATCGAAAGTTTCTTTTTTCTTTGCTCTGAATAAAACTGCTGTGGGTTCTCTATAAAAAAAAAAGAAAGAAAACCCTGAGGGCTCCCGCAGTCCTCTCGCCTCAGCCTTCCGAAGTGTTGGGATTACAGACCCGAGCCACTGCTCCCAGCCTGTAAGAGTTCTTTAATAAACTTTGGATAAGGATATCAGATACGT